AGAGAGAGAGAGAGAGAGGTAAAGACAGATGGACGGACAGTGAGACAGACAGTGAGACAGACGGACAGACAGACAGACAAACGGACAGACAGTGAGACAGACAGACAGACGTACTGCAGGACCAGCTGTCGGATGCTGTTTCTCAGCAGGTTCTTGTTCAGCTGTGGGCTCCAGGTGTGGTTCGCCAGATGGTTGGACACGAAGTTGTCGACTCGCTGTCGTAAGTGCAAATACGCCGGCTGAGAGAGAGAAAACAACAGAATTAACCCTACACAGCTACCGTGTCACGCAGAGGTCCTCGCGGTCCACTTGGATCCGAAAACCCGAGACCCGAGACCCGAGCGGGTTCAGTATCAGCGGCCTCGGGTAACGTGACTGTAAAATAAATTACTTTAGCTTATAAAAGTGCGCGAATTTAAAAAAGAGCGGTTACTCGCGACATTCTCATAATAATCAATTAACTGTAAATACACGATTAGCTCTGAGACGGTATTACAGCGACACACATCACAGCGCGAGTAACTTCGGAGAACACCGTGTTATGGCGGTGTAAAGCTGCAGGTAAACGCGAGCTGCGCTGCTGCTGCTGTGAGGTGAATGTGTGGCGCTTTGCCTTTGTATCCACGTCCGCCAGACAGTCCCTGCGGAGCTGATCGAACAGACCCTCCGTCTTCAGGTGACTGACGATCGCCGACACCAGCTGCGGGTCTCCGGGGTGAAGCGCCGCCATCGCCACACGCGGAACACGAACACCGGCAGAACCTCCGGAACCAACCGAACCGCCGCGGCGCGTCAGAGTAAACAACCGGCCGGAAGTTTACACCGCGCACAGGAAACAGGAGAAGAAGAAGAAACGCGCGGAAATTCAGCGCCACCTTGAGGACGCGCTGCAGCTGAAAAAAAGTGTTTTAATGCTTTATTTAGTGTCAACTCACACAATATAATACTTGTAACAATTAACACAAATGAAAACGAGCAACAGCTATTCTGTAGTGAACTTTGATTCGCAAAATGATTCGCGAAGCGCTGGTGACGCCTGCTGGCCAAACTGTGTAAATGCAGCTAAAACTCAGACCAAAACACCTGAATACAGCTTTTACAAACCCGTTATAATATATGCAATTAACAGCATCAAATATGAAGTACATGTATAATAAGTGTCATTTTATTAATTTGCAGGGCGGGCGTGTCAGGTAATAATCCGCCGCTGGGGGGCGCTCTCAGTGCATCACGGGTTCGAACAAATGATTCGCTCAGTTTTCGAAGCATCACGAAGCAGTGCTTCAAAAGCGTCCATCACTACTGAACGGCATGTTTGGGATCCGATGGTGTTCATTTTAATTAGATGTTATGAAAAAGATGTGGCAGCGGTGGGATTCGAACCCACGCCCCCGGAGAGACTGGAGCCTTAATCCAGCGCCTTAGACCGCTCGGCCACGCTACCGCTGAGCCGCCGCGCGTCAGGACGCCTCTCAAAGGCAAACAAAACATTTTCATATGATTTGATAAAATGCATCATGAAATATAATTGCATATGGGTAACAGAAATTAGCTACAAGTAACTTCGATGAGAACAACACTTTTACTATCAATCACCACCGAGTGTCTGTAATAACTTCTGACTGCGATCCAGTGTGGTTTGAGGCAGAAATATGTTGTTAGTAACATTTCAGAAGAGTTTTTGCTTGTTGGATAACAGCTTGTGTGGGGCCTGAAGGAAAAATCTGTCGTTTACTAACTCTTAAATTGTTCGGATCGACTTCCATAGCACGAAAAACATAAAATAAAAACCCCATGTTAGTCAACGGCTACCATCAGCTGTTCGGCTCACAGCACTCATCACAATATCTGGTGTTGGACAGGTTTGGAACAACATGAAAGTGAATAAATGACTTTTAATTATTGGGTGAGATATCCCTTTAAGTTATTTCACCAGCAGTTAAAAGCAAACCAGGAGCTAGTCAGTACTCCAGCAGCAGCCACAAACTTTAAAAACTACTAGTTAATTACTAGCACCGGTTTAATGTTTCCAGTCCAGTCTGTGTTTCCAAAAGAAATTGATACAGACAGCTACATCAAGCCTGAATGCATGCGGACTTTAACAATCAATCACTTCATGCAAATCAAAAAGCTGCGCCACCAAACATACTTAAAACGCACCGGTTTATATTTCATAAGTTCAGTATAATACAGACATTCATAGATTATAAAACAACATGAATATGAACAGAACAGCAGAACTACAGCTACACGGGACAGTGTAAAACAGAAGGGAACAAACTAGAGTTCGTTTACATCTGGGCTCATTAACGGGCACACTTAAATACGTTTGTAACCAATTAATATAGCCCACACACACACACACAGGACCGGGCCCTGGATCCGATGTTTCTGACACCGTGCAACACTCAGCTCACAGCACAAGCATCACCAGTGGACTCGGAGCAGCAGGCCTGCGTGTCTCAAACGGGTCCTTGAGGTCAGTGATGCGGGTTGCAGACGGGTGGCAGCACCCGGCGGGAGTTGGCTTTGACCCAGGGGTGCTCCATCACGCTGCGGAGCGGCAGACGCATGGCTGGACTGTGACGCAGCAGCTTGGAGATCAGATCCCGAGCGCCGTCAGAAACCAGCTTGGGGAACTGCAGATCCACCTGCGACACACACACACACACGTTCACCAAACATTAGCAGCAGAACCCAAAGCACGGCACACTCCAGGACAAGGTTAGGAAAAATAAGAAGAACGTTCCGAAAAGTGTTTGAGAACACACACACACTTTCTTCCTAATGCACCAAAATGAATTTACTGAAACCAAAATTAAAGTTTCATTTAGACCAAAAAAAAAAAAGTTTTAGTAATAGAATTATTTCTACTCTTTGTTGTTGAAATATAAACATTTGTGTCCCTGCAGCACAAAAGCAGTGTTGAGTCGCTGGGGGATATTTGTAGCAATAGCCAACAATACATTGTATGGGTCACAATTATAAACCATACATCAATGGAAAGCTACTTTATTCAGCTGATAACTTGACCCTTATGACTGGTTTTGTGCTCCAGATTTAACGGTGGCTGAAATAACAGGTTCATTCAAACATTAATGAAGACAGCAGGTTCAATAAAAACAATAAATATGAATAACCTAGTGCATTCTATATTCAGCAAAACACTCCTCTCTAAAGTCCTTTTCTTTCTAGCTCACAAAAGAAAACTAAAGTTTCAGCTGAAAAATTCTAGGTTTCTGACATTCAGGTGCATCACGATTATCTTAAATAACTTCTTAATAGTTAACCTCCAACTTGTCTTAAACACCCAAAAGTAGGAGGATTAATAACACGAATTCCATTTTAAGCATTAAAACAAAACTCCAGCTACATATAATACATCACGACACCAGCGATGGATAACAGACACAAGAATCGGTCGTCATACGTGACTTTATGCTCGATAAAACTCTAAATTGACAATTTTCTTTAGTTTGGTTCTAAGAATATGTAAGAACTTTAAAGGTGACATATCATGAAAATCTGACTTCTCCAGGTGTTAAGTTCTATAATCAGGTCCCCGGTGCATCTACCAACCAAGCAAACGTGAAAAAGATTAACTCAGTAACTGTTTTGGGAAGCCTTTTTCTGCAAGCGTCTGAGAAAACCAGCGCGTCTGATTTCACTCCCCTGGTGACGAGGCAAAGGGATCTCATTATAATATCACCGCCCCTTAATCTGTAAGTTTACACCCATGGCGCCGTTATTGTGTTTTCGCAAGCGACAACGGTGTAGCAGCTCTAATGCCATGATGAAAGTTTGAGCGAAGCATGCTAACTGTTCAGTGTTTGGCTGCAGAGACGAGCTCAGAACACTGTTTAGAGTCCCAGCCTCAGAGACGACAGAGCAGAGCATTTATTGATTTATTTACTGTATATTGCTGCTGCCACACAGATCTAAAATAAACATG